CTGATATAATTGCTTCGGCTCTTGTAAATCCTACTGATTATTTAAGAAGACGAGAAAGGGATAGTGGAAAAAGTTGAAGCACTATCAGTAGAATTTTGCGAGAAAATTCATTTCATCCATATCGAATGTCACTTCACCAGGCCATGACATTGGACGATCATAGACAAAGACTGATATTCTGTAATTGGATTACTCAACAATTACCTACTTTCCATAGAAGTATCTTGTTTTCTGATGAGTGCACCTTCAAAAGTGACGGCGAAGTGAACACACATAATCTCCGTTATTGGGCGCAAGAGAATCCACATTGGTATCGAGAAATCGATCATCAACGTATCTGGAAAGTCAATGTTTGGTGCGGAATTGTTGATACGCATATCGTCGGACCATTTTTCTTTGAAGAAAATCTAAACCGTTTTCTGTATGTCGATTTACTCGAAAACGAACTCCCACGTTTACTTGAAGATATTCCACTTCAACTACGTCTAAATATGTGGTTTCAACAGGATGGATGTCCAGCCCACACGTCTGTCATTGCTCGTCAACAACTGAACCGCATATTTCGCGGCCAATGGATAGGTAAATATGGTCCACATAACTGGCCACTACGATCACCAATTGATCTTACAATTTTGGATTTTTATTTGTGGGGAAGAATAAAAGACCTCGTATACCGCGAACGACCTACGACTTCAGAAGACATGAAGAACAGAATTCGAGAAGCCATTCAGTCTCTAGATCCTGTCGAAATTCGTCGGGTGACGGATGATTTTCAACGAAGAATAACAGCCTGCATACATGCACGTGGAGGACACTTCGAAAATCTAGACTGAACACATGCGTACAAAGGTGACGGCAAGGGGAACCACCTTAAAAAAGCACCCCGACGAGGTGTAAGTCCGACCTTGTGACCTCCACGTGGTACATCTTGGGTAACGCTGACACAGGCGGCATCGACTGTTCAAGATCTTGATAATTAGGAATCTTTAAAAATCGATGTACACGACTACAAATGAATCTAAAGGTAGAATTCAAATTCACCAGCAGATGGATGCATCATAGCTATGTAAATACCTAGTATTGTTTGAACTATTTTTTGTACAAACACATCCATATCTTTTAGAAGGTTGGTACGGGTGCTCTAAAAGTAACTTGACCTCCACATGACCTCTAAGGGTAATTTTGACCTAGGCTTGATAACGTATTCGGACGTAAAATTTTCCGCTATTTTCATTTGTGATGTCATGAATAAGGGTTTACATTTGTAAAACGGTACTTTGACCTTGAGTTATGCCCAAGGTCGACCTCAAGGTCAAATTCAAGGTCACCATCAGATAGATCTCCCGAAATCCTGCAAATTTTGTCTGAACCATTTTTTTGTACAAACACATCCCTACCTTTTAAAAGGGTGGTACGGGTGCTCTGAGACACCCGGTATAATTATACATATTTATTCATATTCATGCATGAAAAATTTCTTACCAGGTATTCAAGCAGACAATTAATGTTTAAAAAATATGTTTGATCGAAACGATTTTTATAATAAAAATTAAAAACGTTAAGTAATATAATTAATGTTAAATATACTTTTACTAAATTGAAATGTCTTGTATAACAACAATATTTTAAACATCTTATAAACATCTTGTAAACATTTTTATAACGCTTATTAAATAGTACAAAACCGTATTAAATTTTAAATATTTATTTTTCTTTTTATACGTTTATATAATTTCTAGTGTTTATTAAATATTTTTTAAATAATGCAACTATATTGCTTGAGTAATCAGTATAATAACAAAGGAATAAACAATTTTTTAATTATAATAATTGCCAAATTAATATCGCTAAATTTTAATTTACATTTTTACATATTTTTGCAGAATAAAATATGATTTTTTAATATTGACAATAATAAAATTTCATACATAAATTCGAAAATTTAAAGAAGATTAATATTAATCGATTATGTTTTGTAAATAGAAGATAGAAACTGCATATGTTTACCAGGGGTAAATTTAACTCCGAACCAAACTGATATAGGCATGCAGCCGTGATGGATGACATGGAGAGTGCTAATGTGGTCGTTCTTTTTTCTTAACACAAAGAAAATTGTGTCCGTCAACTCAATGAACTTTGAGATGTAATACCACCAGCAACCTTGTGCCATTCGCAGTGCAATCGGGTCATTTGAATAATCAACCGGCTGACATCTGAAGGAATATTGTCCTCCCCAGCCTGTGACTAGACTCTGCGCATATGAGAGAAAACATAATAAAATATCTTGATGAGTTGTTTTTACATGAATAAACTTGCTGGGCAACTTACTTCGTTGAACAACCATGTGGAGAATATTACTTGAAAGAGATTGTACCATATCATCACCTTTCTGAGATCAAAAGGTTTTCGATTTTCCATCATTTTTGGCCCTAAAACTTTAACAAAATAAGCGTAGAACAAGCAGATCGCTAATGTGGAGAACGGGCCGCTCATCATCGGCCAATCGTTGACTCTCGGATCGCTTTTGTTGATCATCAGATCTTGATAACCATCATAAATCATTTGAATTAATTGCGCCATCTAAAATCAAAATAGCACTTTTGTCACTGTTATGTTAGTTCAATCTTATTACAGCAAAAGTTTGTAATTATGGTATAATGCGCTTTATATCATTCTGTCTAGTTACAAAATTAATGATGTTTTATGCTAAAGAGAAACAGTGTTGTTATAGTTTAATTGACATTATTATATAAGAAACTACGGTCGATTATTATAGATATCGTTCGAGATAAACGACTATTTATTGAGCAACGCGATTTAAGTGTATGGTTTAAATAATACGCGCAACGCATGTTGCAAAACTAGAAAATATACAAACATTAGAGTATACATTTCTTTATATTACATAATTGATGGTCATCGATGAGTTATTTTGTTAAAAATGTGATGTTTATTATAGGTAATTAAAGCAGATTTAAAATGTTTCGAATATCAAATTTTAGAAGAACTGTAGTTGAATAATTAAAATAAGAATTTAATATAAAAAATGCGTTATATGCATCTAATTTTAAATTACAAATTTTGTAAATTGTATTAAACCAAAAAAAAAGAAAGAAAGAAAGGGAGTATCTGCGTTTCAATTAAATTCTGTTTTTAAATTTTTTATTGATCGCACTTAATGATATAAAAAGAAAAGTAAGAATTCGCTCGTATTACGCAAAGTAAACTGTACAAAAATTCAGTCAATAATCGAGTTCATAAAAAGATATAGAAATAAATTTATAATCAGTACATTTATTAAAATCTAACAGCACGGTTCGTGATCACAGATCCTTTTTCAACAAGTATTAAAATAAAAAATATAAAATGTATAAAGTTTATAACGCAAAGTTTATCTTAACATGATTACATAAATATAATTAAATCAAATGTAATGAAGAAATTCTTGAAGGTTTTGTTTCATGATTTGAAGAACAGTAATACAAATTGTGAAAAATTAATTTGGGTTAATGTCAAAATTAATTGATATTAAAAAATGTCAATTTGATATGAATAATCTTTGAAAAATAGATATTTGGAGAAAGAGAAATTTTTTAAATCAGTTGCGTTTGAAACATTTGATCGAAATTCTGATAAAATTAGTTGTTCTTTTCTATCCATATTATAGAAAGAACAGTAAATCGAAACACTGTTATGATTTTTCTTTGGTAAGTGTTATACCTTCGAGATATATCGCGAAACGCACAATGAAAACGGAACGTGCACGGATTGTGCACCTCGATGTACTCTCGATTTGAATCGCGATGCATGCGACTTGATCTCAATCTGTGTACACTGGATGAAGTTTCAAGGATCTATGGATCGCCACATCCCTTCTCGGAAGGTTAAATCATTAATCCTTTCACTGATCAAAGTAAATCGGAAAAATACCAGAGATTTTTTTCATTCGGAAACCTGTCTTTGTGGCTTTGCGCTGCTCTCCCCTCTTATCCTCGCAATCTTAACTCTTGCCAATAGCGAATAAGGATCTTATTTTTCAGCCTTGAGAAAATGCTGACGTCAAAGGCGGCGTTGTACTTCACTTGACTTTTATAATTCGTTGCGATAATTGAGAGACAAATTTTGTGAAAAACGTGATTCTTTTATTCAAACGATCCAGAAGCATGCATAAATTATGCATGATGGAATGTAGAAGATTCTATTATTTTTGCAAAAAATTTTCTCCCATAGAAAAAGAATGGAAAAAATCTATTTGCGTGGGAAAGAAGATAAGAAATGCAAAAATAATTCATGGAAGTTGAGGATGCTTCATTATATTCATTTTTGGTTATATAAGAGTTGTTATCGTTTCGACGATCATTATTTTATAGTATTTCCTAATGATTATTACGAATAATATCATCTAATTATGCACATGCTCTGTGAATATTGCATGTAAATGATTCCGTCTCAATGTTGTATAATGTTCACCGGACGACACTTTGATGCATTAAATATGTCAATATTTGACTTTCGTTTCTATGACATAAAAGCCGACATTAAACATATAATGATCCTGCAATATTATGAAAAGTACTGATTGGCTGTTTGCATTATAGTAATATTTTTCAAGATGTGTTAAATAAGTATTCTGCTAATTATAAATTCTTTGAACAAACTTGAATAGATTTCTTTTGGATAAAAATATCAAGCGTCAATAGTCTTAACGATGATGAAGACTTTTTTTTAAGTTTGATTTAGTTGAACACACACAAATGATATTTAATTATCAGATTTTTAATCATAATAATGTCATTAAAAAAAAATGAAAACTTATAATGCAGTAATCTTTGTTGATATTCCCAAAAAGAAATCAGTTTCGGAAATAACAGAGAGAAGCAGGGAAGGAAGAGGGGGAGAGAGAGAGAGAGAGAGAGAGAGAGAGAAAGAGAGAGAGAGAGAGATCTTTGTCGTTTCTGATAAAGAAACAACTATTATAATGCTGTAACTAATTATTTATTATGAAGAAATGACTTTGGCTGGTAAATTATAACCATAAAAATTGAATACTCGTTGAGAAAGACAATTCTTGCTACCGTTGCAACTTCATTGTAACAAGATCGAGTAAAAAAGGGACACGGAAATTGCCAAATATACTTATTAACTGGAAACTCACGTTCTTTATGATCTAGCAATTCGGTGTAGAGTGATTGGTATTTGCTGGTGCATTTATTTCGAAATCGGTCGATTTGATTCCCTTTGTGATGATCGATTCGATCCGTTACATTTTATAAACAATGTAACGTATTTTCCTCTCTAGATCTCGCATTCTCAATTCGGCGTTGCTCTTCTCTTACATCGCCGTCTCGAACTTTCTGATCAAGTTACGGAAACAATATCCACTCCCTGATTTCGTGATTCGCGACTTTCACAAAAACAAAATCCATTACCTTGACAAAAAACAATGAACGGCGACATCATGCGACTCGCTAAAGCCACCCGCGCGTGAATTTCGCAATCCGCGCACTTGTTGCAGAAAGGAAAAGCGGCCGTCTCGTTAAAGACTACATGCGACTGAAAACTCGTTCTCAACGCGGAAAAATGCGGTCTCTCACACATATTCGCAGTCGTACGATACTCGTCTTGTAATCCCGTAATTCGCTTCTCCGCTTCTGTACGTTAATAAGAACCAATTTGCACTTGCAGCAACGCGATTAATCTCAAACGGAATTTTTAAAATGCATAACCTTTACACTGAGATACAAAGTTGTTAACAAAAGAAATAGAAGTACTGAATAATTCACTCTGAATCATTATATACTATAATGATTCACATACATATGTACATGCATGCATCTCATATTTGTATCATTCGAACTGCGCGCCGAATTGGTTTTTCGATCACTTATAAATACAATTAAACTACTGTAGCAATCACGAATTAAATTGACAAGCAATTTTAATAATTCGGTACTCAATTAAAAAGTTATTAACTTGACTAAATGCGTTTAATGATTATTCCGTTCAAGTGTTTATATATTTAAATTAAATATACGTGAAAAATGTTAACATGTTATTTGTTTAATCTGGTGTCATTGTGGTGCTAAAATTACACGGACGTTGAAGTGGATCATGATAATCCGAATATTTTTTTTGTCTATTTTCGCTATGTCAACAATGGTTAAAAGTCTTAGTTCCAGCTACAGAGCGATTAGTTAAAATCTGTGAAGTATGTAAGAAAATATAGATGTTTAAAAATGTCTCGATCATTATGACTTAGCCACAATGACGTCGAGTTAAACATTATTAACATATATTTGTTTAAATTATTGACCGTGATACTGCTATATTTAATTAATAATTAATTCGTTTTTAAATGGCAACTTTTATTCTCAGTGCGGATGTGATGTTCGATATATGTTAATGATAATGGCTGTTAAAAAAATTTGAAGATTTCTAATTACTTGATATGCAAATAAGACTGGATCAAGCAGTATGTATATTTTCCTAGATCGGAGAGTACATTTGCTTGATTCTCTATCGAGAACTAAAATGTATCTTTTCTTTGCTTGGATATTACCTATAATCAATCACGAGCGCACAGATGATTTTTCTCCTTTCTTATATCTCATAAAAGTATATTACCGAAGGGATGTGTGTGCGTGTGCGTGTGCGTGTACGTGTGCGTGTGTGTGTGTGTGTGTGTGTGTGTTTTATACAAAGTCGTAGTAACGTGCATTAAAGCAATCAGATACTATAAGAGTTTGTATAATCACATTTGATGATGTAGAATGATTTTCTTACAACTTACGATCTCACTTTCTTCGCGAGTGTAATATTAACGAATTCCTTGATTATGGGTTGCCCTTACGTTGTATAATAAGTGATCACTACTGTAAGAAATACTATCGTTGCTACCGACTCGTTTGTCGTAAAATACCTTGATTCACAAAACGTCTCAGAGCGATTGCTTTCCGCAATCGAACGATCTAACGTTACTATCAATTTTCCGGATAATTATGTGTATTCTAAAATCGTTTGTTCGATTGTACGAATAATTTCTCTTATCGCGAGTTAACAAAGTGCGTAACATAAAATTTGCAGACATGTTTCGACATACGGTCATAAATTATTTTGAAAAATATAGTAATCAGCGTGGAATTTCCGTGACATCGTCATCGATACTACAACTTCTTTTTATGCCACACACATGCTTGGCCAGGGATTTTTTTCTCCGTCATTCATGCCGAAGAGTTTTTATCGAAACTCGCATCTCAATAAAATTCAGTGTTTATTTTCAAATAATGACGAGAACTTTAATTGACATGCAAAAGAAAAAAATAACGGATTTACGATTTAAAGTTCCGCGTACGATTTGTGATGCAATTCGAATCGTAGCGCTTTCTTAAGATTGTCATTTGCTTGACGAGTCAGGTGCATCCTCTCGCATTTATTTGATAACGAAAGTAAGCTGTGACGCCTTTGAACAGTTATTACGGCATGTGTCCTCAATAATGTCGCATAACACGTGCGCGTGCCTGCATGTGCGTCCATGCGGATACACTACTATAATTTACTTTAATTATATATGATGTTTTTATGCCTAGGAAAAGGAATTTGCTCGACCTTAAAAATATTTTCTTAAGTGCGTTATAATAGTAACTCGAAGAAAAAAATTCAATGAAGGACGAACGAGTTCTGACGAACGCATTCAGAATAAAGTTCAGAACGATTTTCAGAGATTAAAAGTCAATCTTGAAATAAGAGAATATATTTGAATATAATATTAAACTTTTAATAGATTGAAATTAATTAAATAATAATTTAATTATTTAATTCTTTCTCAACCGGACGCATAATTTATTCACATAATTGTATATAACACACGTGTTGTTGAAATTTAAAAGATTAATTTTTTTATTAGAAAATATGCATTAGAAAGTATTATACGCAAAAGTGATACTTTTCTAAGAAAGCCTTAAAGTATCTGCATCTACAATTAATTTGATTTGAAAGAAGTTTTGAATGTGTGCAATATCTAAAATAATTAAATACAATTATTGATTATATTTATTTAATTAAATATATTTATTAATTATAATTATTAACAATTATGTTTTAATTAAATATACTTAGCTTAACTATATTTATTAAAATATAAGTTAATATATTAAGAAATTAATTAAACACTTGTGTGTGTATGTTAAAGAAGACATCGAATTATCAATTAAACAGAATAAAACAAGTTAATTATCAATATCTATGATTGAAAATATTTAGAAATTAAAAATATTTATAATACAAAAAATAAGAATTTTGACAGACAGAATATTTTTATGCATTTTAGAATAAAAATGTTATCCTTAATTAAATGTCTCTTAATGATTTTGATTATTTATTTTTATCTTAAATTTACATATATAGTTCTTTCAATTTTAATGATTGCAAAAATTGATATTAATGTATGCAAAAATTTTGATGATCGTTTTTACATCAAATTATCATTCCAATTATTGTCGCTCGGTGGTATTTTGTTCGGTTTAAGCAGCTCATAATATACGACATCCTCCATATCCCATCAAATATAGAGCGTTGCTTTGTCGTGAACGTCACTACTTTTGAATCGTCGAAACCAGTTTCTACATACTGTTTCCGATTCCGGAAACAGATTCATAAATTTAAATAAATATGGAAATAGATTCATAAATTTCCGCAAGCAATCGATGAGTTTCAGCTGCACTTTTTTTCAAATCAAAATAGTGTAGAAGTACACATCGGAAAAACAACTTATCACATTCCATTTTAATTCAGTTATAGAAAAGCACATATGTAACCAAGGATGACGTCTGTTGACTGAATTTTAGTAGGAAATGTTCGCATTTCAAAATGATAACAGTAGCAGATGTCTCTGACCATAGCATGCGCAGCTACTGTCATCTAAACGTGAATAGTAACTTTTAATGCAACCCCCTAATAGATAAAGATTGAAATTAACGTGCAAATATCAGTATTTTAATTATATAATGTTCAAACATTTTTCCTTTTTTAGTTAAACTTCACTGATTATTTAGTGCCAAGTATACCACTAAATAATTAGTAACTATCCACTGATTTAGATTTAGAGAATACATGTACTTTGTACATATCTCTATGTTGTATGTATTATCTAGAAAAAATGGATTTACATTGACAAAGTTCTAAGGCTTCACGGAAAACGCTATTCTTTTATGTGCTTCCTCAATTTTTATATTGTAAATGCAAAGTTTTTTTATGTTGATTACATCTTTTTCTTTAATATTAAATTTAATTGTATTTATTTTTTAAATGTAATTTTTTATATAAACGCTTTATTTATATTAACTTTATCAATAAGAAAATAAATATTGAGAATATTTATTGATCCACTCAGGGTTACAATTATATATAATATTGACTCATACGTTTATACGTAATAATCTAATCTCGTATAACTTATAATAAGAAAAGAAATATTTTCTTATATATTTATAAATTATAATAATTGTTTTGAAAATAATGCTGGAAATAAGAATATTAATCCTAAAGAGACTTGTAAAAATGTAATCTTTTATAGTTAATGCAATTTTTTTCAAGTATAATATATTCATAATTTCAAGAAAGTACTCAAAGAATTTCCCTATGTTTCAAAAACATTTTAAGACGTTCCTTGGATATAAAGTGTGCTGTGTGAATCATTTTATTTAATTTATTTTTTAATAAGTGTTAATAAGTATTAGTTTTTTATAAGAAAATGTAAATAAAACATAAATAATTTATCACAGAGCCGAAGATCCTTAGAGCATTCGCATTACACACACAAATTCAATATATTAATAATACATTCAAAAATAATTTATTGTTTATCTGCATAATTTGATATCATATGATGAATTAAAACGTAATATACATATGTGTGCATTAATTTAATTTCATATTGATCTTGCTACTTAATAGGATTAATATTAATACCTTATTAAAATCTTTCATCAAATATAATCTTACATCTTAATTTATAAATATAAAAAGATAATAGTCACGATTATAATCTACATCGCGAGAAATATATTGATATATGAAAAGAATGATTTTTGAAATGTCTAAAAATTTAATTAAATACAATTCCGAAAATAATTTTGTTGGATAATCAAAATAATTAGATCGCTTAATCTAGTTTCTAGAATATCAAATTTTTTTATATTATTCAGTGTTTGAATTTTCTATAATTTTGATGACCCAACAAAATTATTTTCAGATCTGTATCCAGTTAAACTTTTAGATACTTTAGCAAATCATTCAATTACAAATTAACAATTTTCTAATATAAATCTAACTGAACTGTCTTTATAGATAAAGAATTGCGTAACTATTCGATGATAATAACAATTTGCACGCAACGCACATAAAATTATGTACTTACTATGCTACTCTTCGCGTGCTTCTGTTGTTATCCTCTCGGAGAAATAAACGCGTGCAGAAG